ATTACATATCGTGACGCGCATGGCGAGGGAAGAAATTCATCCTCAAACATATAAACACTTCTACGATCAAAAGAAAAAGGAGAGCGATGTAATAAGCAAAGCAAAGGCAACACAAATTGTGAACAAGCGTATGATGAACTGCTCCACGGCACTAGCAGATTAGGGACACCAAAATGAAACCGGAGACCCGTTTCCCAGGCGTCAGGATGGCACTTGTTCACGCCCCAGCGTATCACAGAACGGTGAGGAGGACGCCAAATAGGATCTCCAGCAACTCCACTCTCTGGGTATATCCCCGGAGAGATCTCTCACTTTGGGCACATGTACAAAGATGCTCTGAGTACCATTCCCAACGCAGAAAAGAGTTAATGCCTCAAATGTCTTTAAACGGGAAATGGATTTCAAGAATTAACGTATATTCATAAAACAGGCAAAACGAGTAAGGAATCTATACGCATCAACACGGAGGAAAATCTGCAAAATGTTACAGGAGGAAAGTTACATAAGGGTGGGCATAGCGGGATACTCTTTACATGCCTATCAAAAAGATCTGCTGCAGGGGCGCCTGAGGGGGCTCAGGCAGTTGAGCGTCCAACTTCCGCTCAGGGTATCACCTCACGGTTCATAGGTTCGAGCCCCGCATCCGGCTCTGTGCTCAGAGCCTGGAGTGTGCTTTGGATGAGGAAGGTGGTTATGGGGGGGTGGGGGGAGATGGGTGGGGCGGTTGGAGACCTGGCAGAGAGGCAGGGGAGGGAAGGGGAGGAATACAGGCAGAACTTCAACACTCAACGCTTAACAAATACGGACCGAGAGCCGCACTGCTTTAGCCACTGAGGATAAGCAGAGAACGCGACAAAAATCCCTGCTGTCGGTGAACTTTCACATCGCTGGAGAGACACATAAAAACCAGGGCAAAGAAGGAAAATATACATCAATTGTATCTCCCATGATAATAAGTTCTGTGCAGCAAAGCCATGCAGGGAAGGAGATAAAAACATTGAGGGTAGAGATTTGTAATCGACACTAAACAGGCCAGCCAGCCCCAGCCAGGCGGCACCTCAGTCAGATGGAAGGACAGACAACCTAAGCGGGGGTGGGGATGAGGGCCAGGTCTCGGGAATGGCAAGGAGGAAGGCGGGACTGGACAGACTGGAGTGGGGGGCATCTTAGGAGATGAGGCCAGACAGGGAACTAGTGGGGGCTGTAGGCTGGGACCATGAGCTGGAATTTCCACTGACTTGATACTTGAGGTACCAAGGCCTCGGACAGTCTGAACAGAGGAGGGACGTGTGCGATTTCCACCTTAGCACAACCAGCCTGAGCATCTCATCGAAGAACACGTGCAATGCCAGAGGCCACTGCAGTAACCCAGGAGACGTCTGACGGTGGCCTGGACCAGGGTGGTCATGATGACACATGGTCAGATCCTGAAAACACTGACGGGATTTACCGATGCAATAATTAGGTGAGAAACACAGTCAGCGGTGACTCGGTCTTCTATTATATTCTATGATGCTTTATTTCATTTTTTAAAAATCTGACTCCAATGTGGCCAAATGCCAGCATCTGTTCCCTCAAGGCAGGGGGTCCAGGAGATTATGTGCATTTATTATTATTTTCTGTACCCTGTGGTACGTCTGAAACATAACAGATTACCGAATGGGGTACGTTCATCGGTCAGTGTCTGAGGTTTTTCTTCAGGAAAAGAGGACACCAGTTAGGGTTCACTACTCTGAGTCTTGATAATAATAAAACAACACCATCACTTCTTAAATCGTCTTAACGGTTCACGTGCCTACTATTAAGATGGCCAAACAGTGGGGACAGAGAGCTAAAGGAAGTGATTCACTTTTAGCCTCTGCACACCCATTTTACAACCGAGTTACAATAAATGCAAAAGCTTAATATTTTCTACTAAGATCCCCCCTGGGTAGGATGTTCACTCCTCTTATTCTACGACTAATCCTTGATGTTACATGCCAAGGAGGTTAATGAAATAGTTTAAAAATCGTAAGTCATGGTTGATAACCTATATACACACTTTTGCTTCACAGGTTTATTTACTTGTTTCATCACTTTTTATAGCATCTATAATTGTGAACGGCTGTTTGCTAGTTTTAAACTAATGGAATAAAACTTCCAAGGATCTGTCCTTTGCTTACCAGGAAAGCACTTTCTCTCCCAGACATCCTGAAACCTTCCTATCCATTCTAGCTTACACACTACTTGTCTCTAAAGTCTGGAGACAGATTTTTTTTTTTCTGAATTCTTTAACGTTTTATTTTATTTTTTGAGAGACAGAGAGGGACAGAGCACAAACAGGGGAGGGGCGGAGAGAGAGGGAGACACAGAATCCGAAGCAGGCTCCAGGCTCGGAGCTGTCAGCACAGAGTCCGATGCGGGGCTCGAACCCATGAATACGAGACCGTGACCTGAGCCGAAGTTGGATCCTCAACCGAATGAGCCACCCAGGCGCCCCATGGAGACAAATTTTTTTTTAACTTAAGAAACAGATTCAAAACAATGTAAGTATGGGTCTCTGTTCTCTGCAAATCTCCCATACCATCAGATATCTTTTGTTTCATCAGCTCCTTCCCACTGGGGAATGAGAGGGGATAATATCTTTTGTTTAGGGATCAGGCAGCATGTAATTGTAAGTGGTGTTTACCGTTCTAACGGAAATCTAAACGACGTAACACTTTCGTGAAAGCATATACGCAAGAAACCATCTAAAGTCACTTCCCAACATGAGTAATAAATCCGACGTACTGTACGTACAAAGTTCAGAACTTGAGTTAAAAGCAACTTTTATAAGAAGAGCACATACGTTCGTAGGTTAATAAAGAGTGGTGTTTGAAAAAGTTCTACGGCATGATCCCCGGCCTCGCTGTTGACAAATTAGCTCACAAGCAAACCATAAAATCACATCTACCAAAAACCCTACCACCACCCTCTCAATTTTAACGCACTTTAATTACAAAAATAGGTTTTACTATGTGCGTAACATATACTCAACATATTCTCCCAAAATGGTGAGAGTTCAGCAAATAAATTAGCCAAGACTTTGTTATAATCACAGGCCCCGGGACAATTATTCCCCAGAATTCTAATTCTCCAACTGTATTTCTCCAAACATCATGAAATACAATTATCCAAAGAGGCACACCTACTTTCCAAATAAACACCCAAATTATGCCAACAGTCTCTTTTCTAAAATGCATTTCTAACAGTGTAATAAGTTCATAAGAAATATATTTTAAAAAATCTAGAGATAGTGTTAAACATGAAAACCCTGCTTAATGGAATAATCCAGCAGCCAAGATGCACACCCAGATATTTTCCCTTTTTTCACCATGTGAGGAAATACCCGAGTAATTTTTTTTCTTTAAATTCTTCAGCAGATCTTATTACTACCTAGGAATTTTATAATTTCCAACCAAGCAGCATTTTAGATATCCAGGAGGAAGTCTTTCTTCGATGACCTGGACCCATCCGCACAAATGCTCAGATCACAGAAGTCAGGAAGGAGTACAGATCGTGTGTGGGACTGACTGTGAGATTCAACAAGTGACCTGTTGCTAGATGTCACGCAGGAAAGGATTGCGACCTTTCTCTGATCGATCGTTCGTGGTAAGAAACCTATCATGCTAGAGGATTACAAAGCTATCCAGCCTTGTGTCACTGGTTTGACGCGGCAGAGCGCCCGTGAAATCCGGCAGGCGTCCCATCTGATCGACAGTCACGATCTGGCCAGGGTCACCTTCGAGGACCCTCGGGGACTGGCGTCCTCTCCACCGAGGAGCACAGAATCGGGGAGGGCGCCTCTCCCCGTTAGTCACCACCCGCGTGGCCTCGGACGGGTCACACGGGCTCTGTGTGTGACTCCGCCTCGTGCCAGGGCAAGGCTCATTTCGAGGACGCCGTTGACCCAGGCACTCGGAACGGTTCGGGGAGTGGTCTGCACCAGCCTACCGTGCTCTAACGAGACCACATTCCGCTGCTGCACGACTTTAAGGAGAAGAACCGGCAGCTGACGTGGGGGTACCTTCGCCCGGTGGGGATGAGCACAGGGAGCATGGGGGGGCGGGGGACGGTGAGGGGCCAGCGAAGCACGGCACAGACGGGCCAGGCAGGTGCAGCAGGGGCAAAGGCTGCCTCTGGGACACGACGACCCCCAGGTATCTGGAACTTAACCTGTGGGTATTCATTAACCTCCCAGCGTGAGGAATGCTAGAAATAATCCAGGCCCTGGGGATCTGGAAAGGGCAGCACAGAACCCCTGCATTTTTTGTGATCTGTTAAAATCCTGCAGGAAGTTTATTCGTCTCATCTCTTCCTGCAATTATTCTACCTCCCCCTCTGTTTTCCCTCCCACCCCCTCTCCCTCCATCCGGCTGCTCTCTTCCGTGCAGGAGCGTCAGATCTGCAAGGGGCAGCAAACCGCACGTCACCCCACGACACGCGAGGTACTTACCAAGAATGTGGTCCGTGGGTTCCAGTTTGACATGGTTTTAGTGCGACCCGGCTCCCGACTTAATTATTTTAATGTGTTACCGCATCACACTGTTGGCTACCAGACAGTGAGCTTGGGGGAAAATTAACTTCACGGAAATAAAAACGGAGAGAAATGTTTCTTCCGCATGATGCTGCGTTTCTAACGCCACTTCTCGAACACCTTCAAGCGTTCAGCCTCGATCGCTTAGCTGTGCCCTCGATGGCTTAGCTGTGCCCTCTGTCACCACACCCCAGCACCCCCGCACACCACGGCGGATGGGGAGCCACGGCGGACAGGGTGGACTTCTCCAGAAGCCCGAAATCACGCACCTCGCCACGGGAAGGAGCTGTGACAGAGTCCAGTGTCAAGCCACTTGTGAGGTGCACTGTTTTCCCACAATCTAAATCGTTTACGACATAAACTTCTCGAGATCATCGGAGGCACACTTCGGTGACGCCACCTTCCTCAGCCACCCAAACCCTGCACGTTTTCACGGAATACAGACCTTTGGGAGGTGTGAGATTGACTCCATTTTTAAGGCACCATTGTACTGGTAAAATCCCCAAAGAATCCGCATGGCACAGCATTGAGAGTTTACTAGGTTCTGGTCTTAGGTCGTCAATAGTCACTTGGAAAAAATGGTTGTTAAAAACCTGAAAGAGAAAACAACCACAGAGCCAAGGGTTAATTCCTCGGGACTATCACACGATGCCGGTATGAAACGCTGGCACAGCTTCCAAATGCAACAAATAGGTTTCATCGAAAGGATTCTGACACAGCCTGGCACCTCAGTGGATATCGCCAAAATGATCCGGTTCAAGAGTCGATCACTGTGGTCGCTTTAATGGAAACATAAGCGGGTGAGTCGTGTACACACGAAAGCACAAAACGACGTCAGTGACTTTAGAGAAGTAAAGGGACAGTCAGTGCCGGAAGAAAAACACTCATGAAGGAAGACAAACCCAAAGCCAGGACGGGCCCTGGAAGGTCAGTGGTTTCTCCACGTCCGCGGCAGGGACCCACGGCCTCACAGCAGATCATTTAAGAACCTCACTGTCTGGCTTGGAACACTCTTCCTAAGCTAGGATTCCTGGCTCCCTCACGTACAGAATATTTTTCTGGAGGCAGCCTAATTAAAATCAAAGCAGGAACGCACACTCACTCTTGTTCTTCTTCAAGTTACTTCTGGTAAATAGCCCTAATTCTGCTGCCTGAGATCTGCCTCTGAAAGGAGACTTTATGGAGCAAAGGATCAAACTTCGCCCTCCCGGCAAGCTCTTCCCTCTGCAGCCCGATTCAAAACCACACCTTCCCTCCCACACTCTGGCCTTCCAGCCTCCTCTGGTTCCTTCCCTGCTGTGTCTTTCTCCTTAGCATTTGACATGTAACTTTCTATTGATTTACTTCCTTCTTCTCTACCATCACCCATTAAAATATAAGCTCTGTAAAAGCAGGGACTTTTGTCCACATCCCCACTGTCCAGAATAGTGCCTACATTGAATGCCAGTGGGATCTAATCTCACATGCACGTGCACACACACACCACACACACACACACACACACACACACACACACACACAGATGTATATATTAAGAACCTGGAATTCTGATGGCAGAATTTGTTAGCACCACTAGACCCTGTGAGCATGGGCACTGAGGAATCTCCAAAACCTATTAAAACGCATATTCGTGTGCACATACTTCAGAAGAAAAGCTGAATCAGTTTCCTCAACTCCATCACGGTTCATGTCCCACATGGTATAGAAACACTGAGCAATCTGGTCCAAAACCTGTAGGTCTCAGAACTAAAACCTAGAGCAGTTAACCTGCTGGCCCAAGGCTGTGCAGCTCAGAGCCAGCCTTGAAAGAAATAGAACCAAGATTCTTTATCTAAACAATACAATGTAATTCACAGACACAGATGATAGTGTCATTGTCATCATCTGTCTATACTGTATGGTTTTGGATCACCAAACACACAATCTGTAATCTCACCGTCCTGCTAAAGGTTGGGCATTTAAAACACAGTTACTTGCTTTATCCGTTGGCTTTAATGTTATTTATTTATGTCTTTAATAGTTGTGCCATGAAGGAAAGCCCCGAGGAAAATGAAAATGAAGTTTTCATTATCATGAGCAGTTATGTTCGCAAACATAATATTCTAAAGCCTTCTCCGATGTTACGAGAATTATGTCTAATTATAAATACCTACCACCTTAGAACATCCTGAAATCTCACTACATGCGGGGGGACCTTGAACCTGCCCATCTAAGTCCTGAGAGGCCAAAGCATACAGTCCAGTCCACGTGTATTCTACACCACAGGGCCAAAAAGGGTTCGTGCGGAACAGAAAGACTGAGCGTTTTATCCTTCGCAGAAAGGGTAAGAAGAAACAAAATGAAAAAGAAACTGTAGCTTAAAAAAATCAGAGAAAATATCCTCCCCGCCCCCACCCCCAATAAGACTTATTTATTGTGAAACCAAGCTACTGTCACCGGAAATCTATCCCACAAGACACCGGTATCTGGGCTGAGACTATCCGTAATTAGTATGTCACATTCTAACGGTACAGATTACGATTATTTGCAGGCATAAAAATGTGAGTCCTCTGTGGAGACACTGAGCACACCGGCATCTCTCTTTCGTTTACTGTATAAATACCAGGGGAAGGGGACACCGTTGCCTCTCAGAATGACGACAGGGTAACATTTATGCAGATAAATGGGCAGCTGGCATTACCACATCAGCTGCTGCTGGGACAAAGGGAAATTCTGGCCAGCGTGCAGCAAGGTAACACTTATCAGTTTTGGGAAAATGTGCAATTACCAGAATGCACGAGGAAAACCCCCAAAGGTCAACTTAAATAAAAAAGCTTTTTAACGGATGGTGTTATGACCGAGAACATAAATCGCAACCCTAGAAACCACCGTGGAAAGCATCACTCCGTATTTTTTCTTCTCACGGGCCAGTTGTTCTCCAAATAAATCAGCAGTGATGTAAAAGTAATTTACGTTCGGGGCGCCTGGGTGGCGCAGTCGGTTAAGCGGCCGACTTCAGCCAGGTCACGATCTCGCGGTCCGTGAGTTCGAGCCCCTCGTCGGGCTCTGGGCTGATGGCTCGGAGCCTGGAGCCTGTTTCTGATTCTGTGTCTCCCTCTCTCTCTGCCCCTCCCCCGTTCATGCTCTGTCTCTCTCTGTCCCAAAAAAATAAATAAACGTTAAAAAAAAAATTTTTTTTAAATAAAAAAAAAATAAAAAAAAAAAAAGTAATTTACGTTCTAAAGAAAACCTATGTAGAAGAAAAGAAACACCGCGATCACAACCGTCTTCCATAATATGACGTACATCTCATCAAATCGTGAAGTAAAAAAAGACCACGCCGAAGGACTCTGAAACGCCCACCCCTGTATTAACAAATCTAGGCTTCCTTAGTGAAAGAAATGAAAATGGAATTGAGTTTTGAACCGTTAATTAAGTTCCCTCACAAAAGGCCATTAACTAAAACATACACTGGGCAAGAATGTGGCTTTGGTCTCTCCCGCCATCTGTAAGAGGACACTCAAGGTAGAAACACGTGTCTCAGGTGTGACTTCCACAGGTGACTTCCTCGACGGGGAAGGGACATTACAATCTGAAAAGCCCATCGGGGCGTAATGACAGTGACTTTACATTAAAAGGCAATTTCGTCTTAAATTCGCGAATCGGAGAAGCAGGCTCCTCCCTTCGTGGATGAAAGCCAGTGACAAAACGCAAGCGGACGGGGTGGGGGGACACACTGGAGATGGGAATCGGCTTTCCGCCTTTTTCTCGGGTGTTCGAACTATAAACACATCACTCTAACGCCTGCCAGCGGGAGAGGACCAGGCTGCCACTGCAACGCTGACGATGCGTGACTCACGAGCATGTTGTGTCAAAGATAACGGGAACCAACAGGGACACTGAGGTGGCCACGGCCAACAGCGCAAGGTGGATCAGAGTCGCGGCAGAGGTCGCTGCTGCAGACCCAGCGGGCGTCTGGACCTTCTTCCCGGCCACTCGGGGACACCAGCGTCCACATTCTGCCCTCCCCGAATCTCTGCTGCAACGGGAGGCAGGGGACCGGCCTCGTTCTCTACGACCAGTGACAGCGGGGCTGGCGAGAAGGTGCCCTCCGCCCGGCGCAGGGGTGCCGCGGCACGCCCCTGCAACCGCATATTTCATCCGGCCGGCTGTGAACGGCAACACGGGGGCTGAGGTGGAAAGCAAAGCGGGAGGCTCACCTTGGTCACTGATGCGGGACAGATATGGAAGGGCTCGCTCAAATTCACTGTTTCTAGCTTCATCCCGACCGTGAAGAAATGGCTTCTCAGATCTGCATGATCCTGCAGGGGAAGCGACAGAAAGGCTGAAAAAGCGGCCGTGCTGTGCATGAACTCGGGCACTGTCTGGACGCCCTCCTTAGACATTTTATTGGGTAACTAAAATCGGATTGAAACAATTAACCCTCCCCCGTTGCAAATTTCTCATTATTGCAAGATACTGCGGATTTAATTATTTTCTGTGGGCTAAATTGCTTTTCCGAGGGAAGGAAACAAGCCTTTGTGGCCATGCTTGAATTTACACTAAGCCAAAAAAAAAAAAAAAAAAAGGAAAAGAAAAAGGAAAAGAAAAAGAAAAAAATCACACGGCACTGCTTTGATCTTCCCAGGCGCTAGAACGGAAGCTCGGCCGAGTAATGGGGGCCATCAGTCATCTGAAACACACAGCAGGCACATCTTCAGCAAACGTGGCCTCGTGCTTCTGGAGGTAACTCCCCAGGGCTTCAGGGAGACCCTGTGGGTGACACGGCCTGTCCCCACATCCTGTGCCTGAGAGCTCACAGCTTATCAGTTCCTGGTGGTCAGCCGCCCATCTGGGGAATGTGTGCCTGTAGAGGTCCAAACAGCTCTGCCCGCGATCGGAACCCGACTCCGGCTCTATCAGGATGAGCCACAGCCCCTGTTTAATAGGCGTCTGGCAGTTTTAAAACCCGCTCACGGCAACCTTCTGTGTGCGAGACGGAGCTCCCCTGCCTTCTCGAGCAAAGAAATTTCAGTGTCCGCTTTCCCTCCACGGCAACAGAGGAGGCTGGCTGGACTCGGGATGCCAGGATTTATCTGGCCGAGACGGAGGTCACCTCCTAATTCACAGTCCGTGCAAATGGTAGCAGATAAAGAAACGTATCTGCACCCCGTCCCTGGGGGAAATAATAGCTACAAATAAATCCTACCATTTCTAAATTCATCAACTGGGTGAGAAGCACCAAACCTATCTAGGGATCTACTACTTGCTTCTATCTGCAGACCTCCAGGGGGTTTTTCATTAATTCAGAGGTGCCATTCCTCGTGCAGCCCTGAGGATCGGGCAGAGCCCCGCAGGGCTGGGGCTGCTCCCCCTGCAAAAGCTGGTCAGTGCCGTCGGTGGAGCTCACGAGAACAGAGAACCGCTTACAAACCCCCCGCCACGCCACTGCTCTACCAACGAAGGTGCAGGCTTTGAACACCCAGAGACCACAAGGACCCCGTCTCCTGTCGTCACCGCAGTCTGCAAAGGTATCCGTACCCGGTGGGGGCTCAAGAAATGCTAGGTCTGGAGGAAGCAAGCAGTGTCACATCTGGCGGCGGCAGGGGTGAGGGGTTGATCCACAGGCAGGGATGTGTCCAAAGTGCAACGGCGTAGGACAAAAACTCAATGCATGAACTAGCCCGTTCCCAGCCTTTATCAATTCCTCCAGAACTCAACGATCACGCTGTGCAGAGATTAGATGCATATAAGGAAAAACACAAGGAAACACCCCTCACATGCAGGAGATGATTTTTATGTTTTTATGTTGAAAATATGGCGTTTATTTTTAATGGTGGCTGGGAAACTGGCTCAGGGGGGGAAAAAAACTCAAAAGACACCGTATAGAGAGTTAATGCATATTAACACATAATAATTCAGATCGACCACAGTGCCAGGGCAAAGCCAGAAAGCACGGGGGATGACAGAAAAGCAGTAACCCTGAACCACAAAGGACGCGCTGACACCTGAATTGCAAGATTAAAAGTTAACGTTCCTGTCGGACATCCATATCACCCCCACCCCCAGCATCTCACTACCAGTGGGAACGCACGCACATTAGTGAACTGTGCAGATAAACACTTTTCCCCTTTTAAGTTCAAAAACCCTTTCCCCTTTTGAAAAAAAGGAATTATTCCAAAACCGTAATATAACACAACTTTACCTGAATATAGTCAACAAGTTGAAGCAGTCATTCTTACACGGCTTGACGATACAGAACTTTCCTCAGGAACTAATGACACATTGGTACCTTGAACAATGCAGGGGGACAGGGGAGACAACGTCCTGAACAGTTGAGAACGGGCGCGTAACTTCTGACTCCCCGCCAAAACTTAACTAAGAGCCTCACGTTGACCAGGAGAACCCTTACCAATCCCATAAACAGTCGATGAGCACATATTTTGTACGTTGTGTGCATGACGTACGGTATTCTCGCAACAGAGTAAGCTAGAGAAAAGAAAATGTTAGGAAGAAAATCTTAAGAGAAAATACATTTACGGCACTCTCCTGTATCTATCGAAAAAAAAAACATCTGCATGTAGATGGAGTTCAGGTCAATGCTGTTCAAGGGTCGACTGTTTAATAAATGGCCCAGACGAATATAGTATTTTCACAGACGTTCTGCTTCTCTCTGCTATCAGATGTCCCTCCCTGTTGCACAGTTCCCTCTCATTACTAGAGATGTGACTCACCAATAATAGAACATTTATAACTTCTGGTAGCCTCCACCACCAGATCTGCTCTCTTTGCAATTTCCCTCTATCACCTGTTTTCGCTTCCCCTCTGTTTCTGCTGCCAGGTTCCTGACGACATTCTGGGCTTCTGGTCTACCTGCCATCTTCAGCCTTTCTTGACTTCAGCTGTGTGCCCACGCTTTGCCCCATATACTTCTGTCCCTACCTTTGCTCTGAGTAGAGGCAGCTTTCTAAGGCAGGGTCGACACAGGACTGCCAGAACCCTTCTACATCCCAGGCTCTCCGTTTGACCTTGACCATGGACTTGAAGTCTTTAGCCAAGTTTACACTCACCCTATATCTACCGGAAGGTCTCTCCATCACAACTCCTGATGCTGAAAAGTCTATGGGACCAGTCACCCGACACTGCTAGATGTCCCTTAACAGGTGCCTTATGTTACACACAGTTGTCGGGTGGGACCAGGCAATGGCTGCTTTTCCTTAGGAATAAAGCATCAAGGCTTAGGGCAAGAATTTGCTCCTCAGATAACCTTCTCCTTTGGCACCTGCGGCTGGTGTTATAAATGTTCGTCGTTCATGATTTCTGCGTCTACCTCATTCAACCGTATCTCCAGGTAAAGAAGGGATCATTTTGTGCAGATATCACACACTCTGTTCCCTCTTTCCTGGAGTGGCCAAGTGCTGGTCAACCACCGAGTGGTGTCATTCGTAAAAAATACCATTCACATCACAATCACACATGGCCAAACGGGGGACAAAAATAAAATGTTAATGACATTAGTATTTTTTAAAATAATTAAAATGGTGTTCTGTCTCAATGATATGAAAATATTTCTTTAAATGTTTATCTGTTTTTGGGAAAGAGAGAGTGAGCAGGGGAGGGGCAGAAAAAAAAAAGAGGGGGACAGAGGATCCAAAACCCAATGTGGGGCTGGAACTCACAAACTCTAAGTGAGACCATGACCTGAGCTGAAGTCGGATGCTCAACTGACTGAGCCACACAGGCACCCTGCCATTAAAATATTTTTAAACAATTTAAAAATGATGCTTAGTGAGCAAAGGTTTACAAAGAAGTCTTTCATGGTCATCTAGGGCTTGGATTTCCTACATCGTAAACTATTTTGACTAGCTTTCAATTACATGCAAGCACACAAAATTCTTACTTGTGAAATGCATCTGTTTTTGTCCCAAACTATATGAAAATCCTTCAACCCTCTCATTTAATATACTGGAAAAGGAACCCAGATATTGTGATGGGTACCTGTATTCAAACACAGATGTTTATATTCTGGTCTCTAATATCCACATCTATCCAGAAGAGCCTCTTAAACTTGAAGTCTAAATTTCAGAAACAAGCCCAGAAATTATACAACACATTTCTGTAGCCACAGCCCTACCCTTCACTTTCTTAAAGTCACTTTTAATCAGTAGTTAATCAGTATTAAAAAAACAAAAACAAAAAAAGAGGGATGCCTGGGTGGCTCAGTTGGTTAAGCCTCCGACTTCGGCTCAGGTCATGATCTCACAGTTTGTGAATTCGAGGCCCACATCAGGCTCTGTGCTGACAGCTCAGGGCCCAGAGCCTGCTTTGGATTCTGTGTCTTCCTCTCTCTCTGCCCCTCCCCTGCTCACACTCTGTCTCTCTCTCTCTCTCTCTCAAAACTGAGTAAATGTTAAAAAAAATTTTTTTAAAGGAAAGACAAATCTTCCAATGTCTAAAATCCCACCCATTTCGAAGGTAAGTCAACACAACAAAGTCTTTTACATCCAGAAGCAAAGACACATAAGGTTTATGAGTTTGATTAGGACCATATATACACCGCTCTAATGTTTATGTTCTTCATGAACCATGATGTCATAAAATTTATACTACAAGAGGCAGAACAGTGTCTTCTCAAAGACTGAAACCTCCCGCGGGCCCCTGGAGACCTTGAAACGAACATGACACGAGGCCATGTGTTATGTGCAATACTTCCCTGTCAATGCATAACTCTCTCATTTATGTTCTGCGGTTCACCCAATTAGGACCCCAACAAGCATTTATTGAATTAAGCTGAGGAATGTCCAAAACTAGATGACTTTTTGATATTCATTCCAATTCCAAAGTGTAGCATTCGCTCAATAAGCATGCATTAGACAATGCCAAAGTACCACACATGCAGAGATGCAGAGCGCGCGCGCACACACACACATATTATCAGAGGGAGAAGGAAAAAGACAAAGAACAGCTATGGAATATCCAGGCTTAGAAGAAATTCCAGAATAAACATTTTTTCCTGCAGCATATAAAAATCACTACTGCTATGATGATGGCAATCTGAGGGCTTCCAGGAGTGAATCTTAATCTGGAATGTGAATATGACTCGGGAGAGTAAAGAAAAAATTATGGGAAAGTGGCTTGGTAAATTTAGCTCAGGAGGCTGGACCTTAAAATCCCAGAGTTAGGCATGTCAGTTTGATCCAAAAAGGCAAAAGAGTCGTTGATACTCCTAAAAAATACTGAGTTATTTTTAAGATAATTGAAGAATTCAACGGCAGTAAATTTCCAAAATAAGACAACACACAGACCTTCCGAGCTCTGTGTG